AGAAAATTGCTCTAGTGAGATTATGCTCATTTTGAATTTGAATTTAGTGCATATAAATATTAGAAGGAATATTTCCTTCAAGTAAGAAAATTGCTTTAGTGTAATCAAAATGTGTTTTCAGTTGTCCAATGTGTCTAGTATACTTAGTGTACTAAGATCTGGGTATCCTGCTAGAGAACCTCTCTTTCTCCCTACCCCCGCCCCCTTCTATTCCTCTTACCATCTGAGTGGTGAGGAGGCTTCTCTCAGATTTATTATTAGATGCATTTTCATGAGAACATGGCTTTTGTTTTCAGCAGTTCATCCCTTCTCCTGTTTGGTCTACACTTGAGGGCATATTATCCTGGTGAAATTTTAATTGTTTCCATAACACCTCTGTATTTGCAATCTCACTTTAAGGAGATAGTAGCTTCAGGTGAGGAACAAGCGATAGAAACAGATTGGTAGTGTTGTCATTTAGATTTAGGTTTCCTTGCTTCAATTCTAATGAAGTCTAAGGAATGATGGAGGAGAAAACAAGATCAGTTATTTAGGAGGGTAGATACGAGATTGTGAACACAAAATAACCATGACTGAAGTCTCAACTCCTTCACATATCATCTGTGAACTTGAAGAAGTTATTGAACTTCTCTGAGCCTAAAGAACTTTCTTTAAATGTGGATAACAGTAGCATCTTCAGAAGGATCAAATAACATAATGATAAGGTGGCCAACATCCTTTTTAAGTACCCATGAACTATTCTCATTTTACCAATAGGAACAGAGGCTTATAAAGCCTACATAAAGTTCATGCAGCTTGACGTGGAACTGGGTTTGAATGATCATATAACGTGCTTCGTGCAGTCCCCGCCATAGGCATCCCAGGGCCAGCTAACATTATTTTCATTGTACAGAATTCTCCCAAGAATAACTCTTTCTGAATTTTTTCAAGTTTCCCATTATGTTTACACCAAAAATGTCCAGGTTAGAAAGCATTTCCTGCTACACAGCAAGTTGTACATAGAAATGAATCCATCTAGTGCCTGTATTTGAATATTTGCTGTATTCACAATTTTATGTGACTTAATTGATATAGTCAGTAACTTCATACATGAATTGCCCTTGAATTACTTTTCATGTTTTTTAGCTGAGAGACTGGGAATTCTGTGTCTGTAGGTGAATTTGATGATGCCTATTGAATGCTGTGTTAATATACTTTCCTTCACCTTAGATTAAAAATAAAGAAGTACCTAATTTCTTTTAAAAAAAACAAAAGGTAGTAGACAAGGAGATGAGGGCTCTGATTTACTTCTACATTTCCCAGAGATCCTCACTAACTATGTGGCTTTCTTAGGAGAGGTGGTCCTGCTGGTTGATATGCCTGCAGACAGTCCTGCAGAGGAAGGGCAGCACCTGCCTGATGGGAGGACAGCAACTCCCACCAGCACCTTTACCCAGCAAGACATCAACGAAGGCATCGTGTGGTACAGGCACTCAGGAGTCCCGGCCCAGAGCGATTCCTTCCTCTTTCAGGTACCCTCCGCGGCTGATTGACATCTTTTCTGATGTCTGGATGGTCTGACGAAAACCATCGCCATTATTTTAAACAATTTGGGTCGTTTTCTGTGTTGCTTGGAAATCACATTTGGTGGAAGAACAAATGTAATTAATAGCATTGAGAGGTTTTTTTTATCTCCTGATTCAGTCCTACAATATCTCTACAAGCAGAGTCATCCCATGGCAGGGAGTTTATAATAGATAATGGCCAAAGTGTTTTGGGAAAAAAAATGTTTTCAAAATATTAAAGTGCCCTATGGAGGAAAAAAATATTTCTCTTTTCAAATGTTTTTGGAACATTTGCCATCTTATGATAAGATCAGAGGCTTAGCAGCCAAACCCAGTGGGTTCATATTTCAGTTTTGCCGTGCACTAGCTATTCAACTTTGGGAAAATTATTTTGGTGAAATCCTTGTGCTTCATTTTTCTCATCTGTAAAATAGAGCTACTATGAGGATTTAATGAGCACGTAGAATACCTCCTGTCACTATGTACGGGTTTGTTACTACCATTTATAGATTGATCAAATACCAGTGCTAAAGACTGAATGTCTGTGTCCCCCTGAGATGCATATGTTGAAATCCTACCCCCTCTCTGTGCAATGGTATATTGACGTGAGACCCTTGGTAGGTGATTAGGATTAGATGAGGTGATGAGGGCTGTGCTCTCATAAATGGGATTAGTACACTTACAGGAGTCACAAGAGAGCTTGCCCCCCTTCCCTGCTCCCTGCCGTGGAGATGCCATGAGAATTCAGTGGTCTGCAGCCCAGAAAAGAGCCCTCATCAGAACCGAACCATGCTGGCACCCTGCTCCAGACTTCTGGTCTCCAGAACTGCAAGAAATAAGTTTCTTTTGTTTATGAGCCACTCAGTTTATGTATTTTTGTTATAGTAGCCTGAGCAAACTAAGACAAACAGACCATACGGAGGCTGTCAATAAATTAAAGAACAAGAAATTATACTGAGTGCATTCTCTGGCACTTATCAAATATAATTAGAAATTAATAATAAAAGGCTAGACAAAAAATGCAAACCGTTTAGAATTTTTTAGATAGTCTCCTAAATAATTACTCGTTCTAAAAGGAAATCAAAACAGCAAACTATTAAGAAATGTTGATGAGGAGGAAATAACTTCTCAAAACTTAAATGATGTGGACAAAATAATACTCAGAAGAAAATTGATGGCCTTAAGCTCTTATTATTGAGCAGAAAAACATGAAAATAAATGGACTAAGTGAAGCTACAGAACCACAAGGGAAACCTAAGGAAAGCAAAAGGAAGGAATTCTTAGAGATAAGCAGAGGAATCGATTCAGTATAAAATGGGAGAATTGATAATGAGTACAAAACCCGAATCTTGGGAAAGATCAATAAAATCAGACAAACTTATGTCAAAGGCAATTTGGAATTAAGAATTGAATGGAAGTACAAAGGAATGAGGAACTTTGAGAAACAGCATTGAAACAGATACAGAAAAGAATTTGGGAAAATGTAAGAGAAATATAAAGACGCTCTCGTGGTGAGTGATCAGCCAAAGCAGGGTTGCAGACCCTCTGAGTCTGAGGCTTTTCCTTTGTCCAGGAATCCAACAATAGCTCACCTTGTTACATAACCATCCATTCTGTTCCTGAGGACTGGTGTGCACATCTTCCTTGCCTGACTAATTTATATAGTGTAAAAGATGTGCTTTTCCAGGAAGCAGATTAAACTAAACTTGAAAAGCATTAAAATGAGATGATACTGAGCATACTGAATGTCCAATGAGTGAGCAAGCCTCATGTGCCCTTTGTCAAGTTAGCTTTTTCATTTTTAGCACCTGGGCACTGCACAATCCTCAAAGAATGAGTCAGAATGGAGGCATAGACCTCAATCATAAGAAGACACCTCAGCCAACTAGAATCCTCAGATCTGCCTTTGCCTTTATTGGGGTCAGGATGAAAAACATTCTCAATATGGAGCACTTCCTTGGAAAGGGAGTCTCAGTACCTGCTCAAAATGATATTTGATTGCTTTTGCAACTTGGTTACTAAATGGGTAATTATAAAAAAGCAAAAGTTACTGAATTTTTTTTAAAAACAAACTCTCTAGAGTTTAAGACATGCAGCTGAACATTCTTACTTAGAAAGTCATTCCCTTTGGAGAGTCTTCACACATTTTCCTCAAGATGTGTTTAGAACCCTGACCTGAAATCTTCAAAATCTATGGGATTTTCTTTAGAACATCCTCCATAGTGACAGTATATCATCCTTTGGAAGTTGATTTTAAAAAATTACCAAAGAGCCAAAAGTCAGTCAGAGTCCTGTCTGGTAAGAAGAGCAGTAATTATTTTTGGTTAAAACAGGGAGCAATTATGAAGTAACAAGCTCAGTTTTCTTCAGTGATTTGTGAACTCTCTCTGAAGGCATTCCAAAAAGTGCATTTTGAACACTGACAGCATCTTTATTGCAAATGTGAAACAAATCTCTGAGATTATGATCTCCTGGATGTGAAAGTTTTGGTGTGTTTTTAAAGTCTCATTGTTTTATAGACTTACCTCATATTTTGATTTGAAATGACACAGACACTGTAGCTATGTGCTAAAATAAATAGTTGCAACTTCTCTCATTCGTCATCTTAGTGTCCCTGAAGGATTTTAAACTAAAAAAGATGCTGTTCTAATGATTCTTCTCTTTCTTCCCTTCTCTTTTCTTTCTTTAAAGCAGAAAATGCAATACAATGAGTTGCATGGATTTAATTCTATTTTAATGCTGATGTCCTGTCATGAGCCATCAATGCATCCCATCTGTTACTTTGCTCATAAAACTTGGGATTTATGTAATGCAAGTGGCATTAAAAGAGCATGGCATAGTGAGAAGAAAGCATGTACATTTGCATCATTTAGGGCATGGGAAGGAACTCTGGCTTTGGTATATTCAGATCACATTGAAACAGCCTTAGGGGATGTGGTATGAAAAGACCAACATATTTCATACCAGAATCTTTACTAAGGAAGCTAGAAGTGATTCCCTTGCTTGGTAATATGTCCACATTTCACTACCTACACAGCGTTCCATTCTTTTTCTTCAAAAGATAGAGCATATTTTCCCCTTTCCTAAGTTTCTAAAGCTTCCAGATAGAGCCATCTTGGTCAGTAGGAAGATCATGAACCTGCTAACCTGGTTAAATACTGACCCTTATTGACTTTATAACTTTGACACCTTTTGACAGTTTTTTGACCTTCAGTTTCCTCATCTTTAAAATAGGAGATGATATCTACTTTGTAAGTAGGTAAGTAAGATAACTTTTGAAAAGTAGGTAGTACGGTGCTGAGCCCCTGATAGATGTTAGTGAATTATAGCTATTGTTATTAAATTATTCATAATGACACACAATGTCTTCTTGATGAAAATATGTAGATATTCCAAAACTTGATCTCCAAGCATCTGATGGGATCGAGATAGAGAAGACAGTTTTTCTGTTGGGCATAACTTGAGAAGACACAGAGAAAGGACTGCCATTCCTGCTTTTTTCTCAGAATCGACAGAACCCTTGCCCCCTGTCATGGAATTATTGCAACTACATATGGCCACACAGGCCTTAGCAACTCTTGTAACAAGCCTAAGGTGGAGCATACAATGGAGAGAGGGACGGTTTAAGGGGGCAGCTCAGAAGGACTGAGGGAGGGGAGGAGCTAGCTGCATAAGCAAAGCATCCTTTTTCAGCATTTTTGAAGCAAGAAGAGGTCGATTTTGTGACTCTTCTAATTGTAAATCCTATTAATCTCATTTTACAGTGATGAGGCTGAGATTTGTCATTTATAATCTAGGTGTACGTATCTGTGCTGAGTAAAGTTTAAAGAAGTAGAATAAAAGTCACATATAACATGTGTTATATATGCTTATAATGAGATATGTAGCTATCAAAAATCATGTTTTCAAGACTAATGAAATAACAAAACATAGTATTATGTTAGGTAAAAGTGTAGAACACTTATTTGTATCTCAAGTTTCACAGATGCATCGAAAATGGATTAAACTGAAGTGCATCAGTATGTTAATAACTTCTATTTTTACTTAGTGAAATTCTAGATTTTTTATTTCTTATTTGTATTTCTGTGCATTTTTAGAACTGCCTAAAATGATTACATGTTTTTTTTTTAATCAGGAAAGCATTAGCATTAAAATGAAGAGCAGAATGAAAATTATAATGCAAAAACACATAGAATTCAAAGACAGATGGTTTAAAGGGGAAAAAATAAACATGCACAAACATGCTGTGCCCAACAGAGGATGAGAGGCTCACCAGTATGATGTTTCTTTTCAGGTGTCCAGTGCCACAGATGCCCATACACATCTGGAGAGCCGCATGTTCAACATCGCGATCTTACCACAGACACCGGGGGCGCCTAAACTCTCTCGGGGAGCGTCTCTCCATATGACCGTGAGTTGGGTGGGAGGGCTCGTGGTTTCTGCTTGGAGGAGGCACGCTGTTGGGGTTTAATAGAGTGTCCTGCTTTCGTATCTGGTGAATGCCTGGCTCAGAGCGCGGACTCTGGGGCCAATAATAACCAGCCTTGAGAACACATTTCTCTTTGACTTGAAAAAGAAATTTAAAATTCCATAGTGAAGGGAAGGTTATGTGGAATCCACTGCAACCTCCCATCCATTGCCTCTGTCCTTTTTATAGCATTCCAGATGGTCTCAGGGCTTCTCCTTGAGTAGTTGGAAGGAGTTTCAAGCTTGTGTCTATTTAATCAATACCATTTAGGTATGATTGTTCAGTCAGTTCTGGCCCCACCTCTCTGGAGAAATTGTCACTCTATGTTTTAGAAGCCCTATGAGAAGCTTTTGTTTTTGTTTTTCTGTTATAAAACTTTCCTGGAGAAAGTAATGCCTTTGCTGAATCCAAAGAAATAAGTACCAATTATCCAAGTGAAAGTTTGAGGGGCAGGTCAGAAGGAACGGAGAAGTGAAGGTGAAGGTGAAGGGCACTACCAAATGTAAGAACAGCACAGAGATGAAAGACAATGTGATGGTTGGGAAAATTGCAAACAGATCAATAAGACTGGAGAACTTAGGGAGGCAGAGGAGGAGTAGTGAGGATGTGGAGGTTCGTGAGCTAGATCACAGAAGGTCTTGAGTGCTGTGTAGGAAGAAGGAGTGTGAGCACATGGAAAGGTTTGAAGTAAGGTGACAGCTAAATTAGTACATGAAGCTTAGTTCAGACATTTAGCAGCTCCACTGTAACCCCATATCCAGGGGGTATGTAAAGCCAGAACCCTTGTTCTAGACAGAGCCACAAGCATATAAGACCTTGTAAATTAATCATTAAGGATTCACATTTTAGTTAGTGCCCACATAATTACACTCCAAAGTAGTGTATCAGCCCTGAGCCACAACAAAGAGAGCAGCTATAGTTTTAGAAATTATGGGTCTGGGGCATGACAGAGACATACAGGGGGAAACAGAAAGTTTTTAATGAATAGCTGGTATCGGCATTTCCACCATAAACCATAATTTAAAGAAATCATAATTCAGCAGCACTATAAAGTCTATAATTCATCATTTTGACTGGAGGAACTTGGATCAGAATTTTCTGTAAAGTGTAAAGAAAAATGTGCATACACATTTCTTGCCAAATGCTAATGCAGTGTTATTTTGAGTTTAGAGGGAAAAAATGGGCCAGGAGCCAATGAAGATGGCACTGTTCCCACTATGTTGTTGTGGACCTCTAGAGACTTCTCAAGTTACTTAACCTTTAGGGTCTCAGGTTGCATGTTTGTAGATTAGATCTGTCTTGTCTAGTTTAGGATATCACAAAGGTGAGTTTACTGTAAAATGTGATTAGCCCACTCTTTTATTCCTTAAAATACAGTTTGTATTTCTTTTGACATTAATCGCGGCCATTACTATAGGATATACTTGCAATCTGTGACAGAAACACATTTTCTATTCAGTGATTGGGACTCACCTAAGCACACAACATTATGAACGTATATGCTAAATACATATATGGTATATCCATATATGTGTTTAAGGGTAGGAGTCCACCTCTCCAGTCATTCAAATAAACACTAATTTATCCCATGTGCTGTGAAACACATTGGAGATTCAGTGACTACAAAACACAGTCTCTATTCTCAAGCAACTTAGAGTCTAAAACAAGCAAATAAGGAGGCAATGACAATACATGATGAGTGCTATGATATGATACGCAAGCAGAGTCACAATATGGAAGCAAACAGAGAGACACCTAGTCCAGTGGAGCGTGGGGGAGGTCATGGAGGGCTTCCTCTTGGAAGTGAACTGAGCTGGTTGAAGTGTAAATGATCTCTAGAGCATAGTCTCAAATTTTAGCCTGCCTTAGGGCCACCTGTAGGGTTTGTTAGATCACAGATCGCTGGAGCCCACCCCAGGGTTTTCTAATTTAGGAGACCTGGTCTAAGGGCTGAGAATTTGCATGTCTAACAAGTTCCCAGGTGATACTGTTGCTTCTGCTCTACTCGCCACACTTGAAACCCCATTTATCTAGACTACAAATAGAGAGAAATTCATTCCAGGCAGATGAGCAGCAGGTGAAAAAAGTGAGAGACACAGGAGAACATGACATGTTTGAGGAATTACAGAGAGTTCAGTTGGCCAGAGCGTAAATCCCTAGGTGAAAAAGAAATAAGAAATGAGAGTCAGATCATAGAGGACCTTACAGATAAGATGAAGAGTTTCCGTTTTGTCCTGAACGAACGTTTTTGGGCAAGTAGGATGCTGAAAGATTCATAGCAGAGAGGGAGCATGATCAGATTTTTAATTTAGGAAGATCATTCTGTCTGTAGTGTAAAGAACACCCCACATGGGGTCCAGACAGAGAACCAGGAGGCCAAGAAACAGGCTGTTACAGTCATCTAGAACAAGAAGGGTTGGTAGCATAAACCGCATGCAGTGGCAATAAGGATTAAGAGTTAGTGAAATCTCAAAGAGACACTGGCACAGTCATGTATAATCCAGCATTATACATCATGGCTGAGAGGCAGAAGCATCTTAAATGTCCTTCAGGTGATAAATAGATAAAGAAATTGTGTTATATACAACAACGGAATATTATTCAATCTTAAAGAAGAAGGAAATCCTGCCATGCTACAGGATGTATGAACCTTAAGGACATCCTAAGTGAAATAAGCCAGTCACGAAAGGACAAATACTGCATGATTCCACTTATGTGAGCGATCTAAAGTAGTAACACTTTTAGAAACAGAAAGTGGAAAGGTAGTTGCCCCTGCAGGGGTGGGGGGTAGAGGTAGGGAGAGGGAAATGGTGAGTTAATTTTGTTCAGTGGATATAGAGTTTCAGTTTTGTAAGATGAAAAAGTTCTAGACATCTGTTCCACAACGATGTGTATATAGTTAACACTACTGTACTCTGCACTTAAAAGTGGTTAAGATGGTAAAAAAAAAAAAGGGGGGGGGGAGAGATTAAAAGATATTTAGAGCCATAGTGGTCAACTGGGTATAGGAAGAGGGTAAAACAGCCCAGTTTCTGAATATGTTGAGATGCCATTCATTGAGATCGAGACTGTATGGGGACCCTAGGGGGAGGGGGAGAGGTGGAGGCCATGATGAGTTCAGTGGGATGCACTTATAAAGGGTGTGCCTATTAAGGGCTGGCAGAAGGTTAGTAGATATTCTCTGTGGGAGATAAACCTCTGAGAATCATTAATGGCAAGTAGTGGTTTAATCCTTGGGCCTGAGATTCCCCAGGAAGATTGCATAGAGTAAAAAGCAACATAAACAGATACGTGCGTAAAGGGAAATTTGTTCTGTGGCCTTTCTATAATGCTCTTCTTCATCCAATCCGATCCTCTAAATGGTATCTTATGATTTTGTTTTGTAGTGTTCCATAAGAATTATGTGCATACATACATGTATAAGATGTGTACACATATGAATAATATTATAAGGTGTGTATATATATATATATAAACATGTGAGATGTATACATTTAGGATATATATCAAATTTGGGCAAGGAGATCTGTAAACATGCATATTTACCAATAAATAGCATAGCATAGTGTGAGATTCAGCAAATAAGTTAATAGATTTACATCAACTCAGTTTTCCAAGTAATCATCCACCATTTGACTTAGAAGAGCCTTAAGGACAAAAGCTTTAATTAATCTTGGTATCTTCCTCAGCATCTAACACAATGCCTCATATAAAAGTAGTTGCTTAGTAAATATCTGTTGACTAAATCATTTTCAGACCTACTTTCAAACAGCTAATAATTCCCTAAACTTTATCACCTTCAAATTCAAATATATTAATCATATGGGTATACACACAGACTTTGAATATGATATTTCCAATTCTTCTCTTAAAGGGGAAATAAATTCTCTTATCTCTTAATGCGAAAGAATATTTATTACTTCCTTTTTCAGATGGTTGTGGTACTCAGAGGTGGGTTGCCCAAGGTCACCACTTGAGAGAAAGGCCTTGCATAAGCCTTCCTAGTTCCATTTGTTTCCAGAGTGATCGCTGTAAGAAGAGTTCTCTTAAAACTACTGTTATTGGGATTAGCAGGGATTCAGTTGGAACAGCTGATCTCTTTTGTCCTATAGACTCAAGTCTGGGCATGCTGTATTTGTTTTATGGCTGTGGGCTTATGTGTCCATGTTTTTTCTTGAGACCTTTTCAAACACTAATAAAATTATTATCTGCAATTTCTGGAAATGTTTCTTTGTTCTTGGAATTCCTGCTGTGCTTTATCTGAGCCTTTCGCACTGCTTAGCAGTTTCTACATTGGAGTTGTTTATGAACTTCCCTTACTAAAAACTGGAAATCCTTGAGGAAAGAGTCTATATCTGATTCATCTTGCATCTCCCACAGCTCTTTGCTTGGTACCTTGCCCAGAGTAGGTTCTGACTAAATAGTTGCTACATGAATATGTGAGTGAATTAATTTTGTTGTCCTAACCAAACTATGTGAGAGGATGATTTCTTGTAGAACCCCCTTTTACTCATCTTATTTTTCATGTGTGTTTAATTTCTGAGGCCAGCCATGGGCTTTGCTGCTTTGGTAATATGACAGTCAACAGGTGAAAGTGGTCTTTCTTTTAATGGAGGCTGAAATGATAATGTTGTTTATAAATCCTGACCTGGGATTCTAAAGATTTAAGTTACACACACACTTTGCTAAGGCTTACATGTTGAAGTGTTTGCCCCTCTTTAGAAGACATTGAAAGATGATGAAAAATATTTTTTTAATTAAGTTGCTATAAAAGTATTTTCATTATTTTACTTCTTAGCTTAATCTGTTCATAGTGATATTTTTCATTCACTCAACAAATTTTTATTGAGCACTTCCATGTGCTAGGTGCTTGGGATCCATCCATGAACAAACAAAAATCCATGTTCTCATGGAGTTTCCATTCTCTTGGTGGGGCAGGAGGGAATCGACAATAAGTAATAAATCAAATAAATAACTCATATATTGCATGTGAGTGAAAAGTATTACGGTAAAACAAAAAGTAGATCAAGGTCAAGGGGATCAGAAATGTGGTGGTGGGAACAGCAGGGGAGAGGGGAGACGCACCCAGATTGTAGTTGTAAATGAGCTGAGCTTTATTAAAACGATGATGTTTAAAGAAAGACTTGTAGGAGGTGAGGAAGAGAGTCATGCAGATACCTGAAAGAGAAGCATTCCAGGCCCAGGAAACCACGTGTTTGAACAAATCCAGTTGGGAGCGTGCTTAGATGTTCAAGGAGCAGCAAGGAAGCCATTATGGCTGGAGTAGAGGGATTGAATGTGAGGGCAATCTCAAACTCACAGATGTGCCAAGTGTGTGTGTTGGGGGCAGGGAGGCGGGGAGAGGGAGGAGTTGGGGCAGATCTTGTAAGTCCTCATGGGCCGTTGCAGGGACTTCGGTTTTTTTCTGGGTGAAATGGAGAGCCGTTACTAGGCGATGAGCCACACAGGTTGAACCTCCTTTTCTGGCTGGCTGTTGCACTGAAGTAGACTGTAGTGGGGGGCAGGAGAGCTTTTGGGAGGCCGTCCTGGTGATCAGGTGAGATTGTGGCTCCCGGCAGGGTGGCGAGAGTGGCGGTGGGGAGAAGCAATTGGAGTCCAGATACATTCAGAGGTAACATGGTTATTGTGACAAACATTATTCTGTAATTTTCGTTTGTTGACAGATATTTTAATAAAAAAGCGTCTTCCATGATGATTTCTATGAAATTTAATCTTTCATTTCTTACTATGTTTAATTGATAAATATTGAACATTCCAAATAGCCAATATTAAAATTGATGGAACTTTGGAATATGTCAGACTCAATACTGCTTTCTTCAGGGAGTCAAGTCCTTACTGTTCCTGCCTCGTGCCTATTTCTATTAGTAGGGAAATAGTGTCAATACATGCCGTAATAAAATATGTTATCTTGGCTGGCATGTATTTCCCTTTATCCGTGCTCCTCTGTCCACTCCCGCTTCTTATTGCTTTGTTATTTTAGGGGCATCTAGATTTTCAAAAATATCTCATAATACCCTGAGAATTTTCAGATACTCTGATGGCTTTGAGATGAAAAGGTGGTGGTACTGAGTTGGCACTTTTCTGTCCATGTGGCTGTGCCCGCACATGTACACATTGTAGGTGTGTGCACGCATGTGTAGGCTATAAACACCTTCCACAGGGCATAGATTTTTAATTTGTTGTCCTTACTTGTTTTATTTTAGGGTGAGAGACCAGCTGCTATTCGTAATTCTTATTTTCCTTACTCATTACATTCCAGACCTGAGCAGTGGCCTGAAATATGACTCTTTACAATAGGGGGGTTGTCCTAACCTGTAAATGCTGTCTCTCCCCAGGACAAGTGTGCCTTCAGGACACTTACAAAGCAACTGCAACCTTCAATCTTTTCACGGTTAAAAGGAAGAACACCACGCCCTTCTCCATGAGAATTACTGAGCCCTACTTAATCCTTTCCTAAATGGGGAAATTCCTTCTGAAAAAGCAGAGCTTCAAAGAGCGGGAGAGCGTGTCAAACTCTAACCCTTCAGGGGTCACTTAGGAAGAGCCTGCAATGAGCCGGATATTTTTGTTCTGTCTTGTTAACAGCATATGTGACCCAGGCAGGGGGCCCGTGCCCACACTTCTTTTCCCTTTTCTCATCTCCACTCCGTGTTTTTGCTGCTGTCCCCAGCTCACTGTTATGCCTGGTCATGGGATCCGAAATCCCCCCACCCTTTGAGTGTTGTCACTGTTGGTGAGTTGTGGCTATATACAAGTGAAGGGACAGTAAAAAAATATGGACACATTGGCCTTTTGATTAATTTTGCTTGACCCCTTCATTGGATACTGAGGGCTAGAAGAGAAAAGCAGTATCTAGTCCTTTTCAATAGTACAGTGGAGACAAAGAAACCATGGACTAGTTTTATGTGCTTTAATAAATAATTCTTAAACCTCTGAATTCAAATGATGAGCCTCTTTTGGTGTTTGAGATGAGTTCATCTTTGGCCCTTTGAAAACATCAGAGTTCCCATTAGCAAAGCTGGGGGGTGGGTGCGGTTAGGGAGGGCTTCTTACCAGATACAACCTTAGCCCATTAAATCGGAGCAGAGATGTAGTGACCCCACTGTGAATAGCAGAACAGTAGGACAGCCAACTGTGATGGCTCATGTTCAAATGTGTACCACTGCGAGTTCCCCCGAGGGAAAAGTGATCATACTGGGATGCCCACGGTATGCACCAACACAAACCTGGGGGCAGAGCGCAGGGGAGAGGAGAGTACAAGAAAACTGGAAGAAGATTCTATGACTCTGTGAGGTTCTTAAGGCCAAGACAAATCTGCAGTGCAAGAGACCAGGTCCTTCTTCTGAGCTTTCAGAAAAAAATTTGCTGTAACTAATTTAAAAGCCCAAAGTGAGGGGGGTTTTTGTTTTTGTTTTGTTTTGTTTTGCTTTTTTAATAAGGTTTGTTTTTGCCTCTGGCTTTTGTTTTCATCACACTATTTGTTCTTCCTCCTCCTTCAATGTTGTTTAGGCTCGGGAAGATGGCCTCACTGTGATTCAGCCTCATTCCCTCTCCTTTGTAAACTCTGAGAGGCCAAGCGGAAAGGTTATCTACAATATCACTTTACCTCTGCATCCAAATCAAGGTAAGATGTGCAGTAAATGATCTTTTGAGTGATGCTATTGTCTTCTAATTGTTGACCTATGTTCAGACCCTGGAGTTTTGTCTGCAAGTACTTGTTGAGGATTTAGGAGTAAGAATTATTCATACCCTTTGTTCCCCTGTTCTGAATTTAGGACCAATTGAGAAAGAGACACTGTGGTCAGACAGATGGAGATGAGTGTGTCAGCTTTGGTAGGACAGAGCTGTGCTGGAGAACATGGTGTGCATATAACTTGACTCACTGGATTGAGCCGCCCCTCCCATGCACAGGCAGAACGGGACAGACACAAACACAGTCTGTAGGGACAGACCCTGCCCTAGTGAGGTTATGAGAGGTAAACAGACAAGAATGAGAATGAGCATGTGCTCAGGACTAGGAGCTCTGCCAGCGAGTGCAGAACAGGCTGAGCCACACACACTCCATTCCTTTCCCCTTTGGATAAGTCACTCCTCCTGCACCGAGGAAAAATGAAAATGTGAAACCACAGTCAGCAGAGAGGGGAGGTGGGCCTCTGCCATCAGTCTTCATCTTTTAGATAGCTGAACTTTGGGCTTAACTAATAACCCTATCCCTAACAGAGGTGTGGCTATCCCTCATGGAAAGGAGATTAGCTTCTATTAAGACAGTTCTGCTCCTGAATCTGATGCTGCCCTCCCAACACCAACCATTGCCCTGGATGTAAGCCTTTCACACGATCAAATCCCCCAGGAGAAATAAATGTCTAAAAATTAAATTATATTACCCTTTTGATAAAGTCCAGAGAAATTAAACACCTAAAAGTCATCCTTCCCTTTTTCTAAATCTGCTAAGTCACAGCAAGAGCCGTTCTCCTTACATAGCCAGGGTAGAGGTGGAGTTCTCTTCGTCCAGCAGCCTGGGCTGTCTTCTGGAGAATGACTATAGGTCTCTCAACCCCTCAGAACCTGAATTAGTTCAACATCAACTCTCACATGTGTCCTTCTTTGAAAGAGTTGATAGGACATGAAAGGTGATCAGAGCATTATTTCTGTACCTACAGAATTTAGAAATGATAGGTAAATTTGCGGCCTCTAAAGCATTTATCACAGAGTTATCATTGCAAATCCAATTCTTATAATAATCATGATCCATGTTACTATTGCCAAAGATTATCAGAGACTGAGGAGTTTCTGAAGGAAAGGGTAAATTGAGAAAACTCTCATTATAGCCTCACCAGGAGCCCAGTCTATGTCATTTTCTCAGCAACCTTGACCTTTGAACTTAAACTCAATTGAAAGAATCTCATAATTATGGTAAAGTGTCTATGACTTGTAGAGAATTACCTAGTCTAAGCTATATTAGGGGTAGTAGTTTGTGTCTTACTATTGATTATAGTCAGTGACTTCTAGTCAAAAATCTATTTGGGTTTCACACATGAAAAGAGGCTCAACATCACTCATCGTCAGGAAAATGAAAATCGAAACCAGAATGAGATATTACCTCGCACCAGCCAGAATGGCTAGTATCAAAAAGGCAAGACATTACAAGTGTTGGCGAAGATGTGGGGAAAAGAGAACCTTTGTGCACTGTTGGCAGGAATATAAACTGGTGCAGTCACTGTGAAAAACAGTATGGAGGTTTCTCAAAAAAATTAAAAATAGAACTACTATATGATCGAATAACTGGGTATTTACCCAAAGAAAGCAAAAATAGTAATTCAAAAAGACATATGCAACTTTATAATTATTGCAGCATTACTTACAATAGCCAAGATAGGGAAGCAACCTCAGTGTCTATCAGTAGATGAACGAATAAAGAAGATGTGGTGTATTTATGCACTGGGATGTTAGTCAACCATAAAAGAATGAAATCTTGCCATTCGTGACAACATGAATTGGACCTGGAGGATATTATACTAAGTGAAATAAGTCAGATGGAGAAAGACAAATAACCATATGCTTTCATTTATATGTGAATCTACAAAATAAAACAAATGAACAAACACACAAAAACAGACTCATAAATACAAAGAATAAACTAGTAGTTGCCAGAGGGGTGGTAGGTTGGGGGATGGGCAAAATAGGTGAAGGGGATTAAGAGGTACAAACTTCCAGTTATAGAATAAATAAGTCACAAGAATGAAAAAAACAGCATAAGGAATCTAGTCAATAATACTGTGATAAATTTGTATGGTGACAGATGGTAACTATACTTATCGTGGGGAGCATTTCATAATGTATACAATTGTCAAATCACTAAGTTGTACACCTGAAACTAATATATTGTCTGTCAACTATAATTCAATTAAACATTTTTTAAAAGATCCTATTAAAGTCTGTTTGGGTTTCAGATTTGCCTTTTTCTTGAATGAATGGAGAATGGTACGATAAGAGAAACCAGAGAGCAATTGTTCTTGAAGGATAAAAGACTCCCACCAGTGGGAAAGGCAGGTTTATGGCCCCGGTCATTCAGTCAACCATCAGAATTACTGTTGATGCTGATGCTGAGTCTCTTCCTCCCCAGGAATCATCGAACACAGGGACCAGCCTCACTCTCCCATCCGGTATTTCACACAGGAAGATATTAACCAGGGCAAAATCATGTACCGTCCTCCCCCTGCAGCTCCCCACCTCCAGGAGATCATGGCCTTCTCCTTCGCTGGTAATGCCTTCTTCTCTATTTTGAGGCACCCAGATTGCTCTCTGGGGATCCTCATGGCAGGTTATCCCTAACTCTTCCCGTTGTCCTGGACAGCTTAGTGACAGTGCTTTATATCCTGTTGAAAATCGCTTGAGACTTGTGGACCAATATGTAGTTTGGGCTCAGTTCATAATTTTTTTTTTTCATTTATTCATGCATGCAGGCATGCTTTCAATAAATCTTTATTTTGTGCCTCCTATCTGGCTCTGAGGTCTTGGAGATTATAGTGGTGAACAAAAAGAGGCATGAATCCTTTTCTTGGTGAGTTTTGGGACCTAGGTATGGAGACAGAGTTTGAGAAATAATCCCAGTAATGAGTGTTTAATTGTAGACTAAGAGAAGAGCTCTGGAGAGAAAGAAAATTGTTCAGTGGTGGAATTAGAAGTAACAAGACTGCCCGAGACTAAGGGTTCAATGGAGGCTGCCCCAGGGAGGTATTGACAGTGGAGGGATGGGTAGATGCTAATCAGCCTAAATGTGCCTCTTGGGATACTTGGGAGAACATTTCCCAAGGAAGGGCGCACAGCGCATGGGCAGAGGCCCTGAGGAGGGAGAGAACGTGACATTCTGGGGATTAAAAAAAAAAAGTCCATGTCTGGAATGTAGAAGGTTGAGCAGAACAGAGATGAGTCTGGAGGAAGAGATAGAGGCCAGACCTCAGGGGCCCTGTAAGCCTGTCAGGATTTGGATCTTTATCCCGAGAACAATAGGAACCCAGTGGAGGTTTTAAGATCTGGGGAGATGGCCTTTCATAAAGAACTCTTTGACTGCAGTGATGTGGGCGGATTTGAGGAGGAGGCCAGGGCTGTGGGTGAGGGGAATCTAGTGAGAAGCATCCCGCACTACCACAGGGAAGGTCCCACACAGAAATGGAGAATGCAACCTGTTGGGCCAGGATTTGACAAAAGCCACCTTTTTTAAAGAGAGAAGACTGAACAAAAGAATAACTGGATTTCTTTTTTTTTTTCTTTTTAAGATTTTATTTATTATTTGTCAGAGACAGTGCACAAGCAGGGGGAGTGGCAGGCAGAGGGAGAAGCAGGCTCCCTGCTGAGCAGGGAGCCAATCTGGGCTTGATCCCAGGACCCTGGGATCATGACCTGATCCGAAGGGAGACACTCAGACTTTCTCCATCTGAAAGCCACTCAACCAACTGAGCCACCCAGGTGTCCCGAATAACTGGGTTTCTAATTCGAGCCATTTTGTGGCCTTCCACTAAGCCACAATAGTTAATCTTTGCTACCCCTTATCTCTCCCCTTGACCCAGTAATCAAAGCTGCTGACTGGAATGCAAGAGTTTTGAGTCCCTACACCTAAATACTTCTGTGCCTTGGAATGATTCTATAAATCTTGAAGCCTGTTTCCTTATGATCTTTAAGATGTATGTACCACATAACATTATATGGAATATTATTTTTATATAGTAGCTTTATTCATACAGAACAGCTGGTGATTTCTTACGGTAAGTTGAACATGGGTTAAATAATTTTTTTTTTTTAAGATTTTATTTATTTATTTGACAGAGAGAGACACAGTGAGAGAGGGAACACAAGCAGGGGCAGTGGGAGAGGGAGAAGCAGGCTTCCTGCGGAGCAGGGAGCCCGATGTGGGACTCAATCCCAGGACCCTGGGATCATAGCCTGAGCCTAAGGCAGACTCTCAACGACTGAGCTACCCAGACGCCCCTAGGTTAAATAATTTTAGAGTTACATCTTAAATTATAGAAAACATTTAAAGTAATATTTTCCATTATATATATAAATGCAATTGTCCAGAAAATGATTAACTCTTCTTTGAAAATATCGAAATGTGGGTGTAGGCCTCCTCTCTAAGGAGGATCCCCAGTGTTTGGTAACTGGGTAACTAATAGCCCATGAAAATGTTCATGGTTCTCTAACCCCTACTTTAAAAGACCTACTTTACAAAGAAACTCAGGATATCCTGGGATTAGAGGGAAAGAAAACATGTCAGCCATGGCTGAAGTTATTTCCGTATCTATTACACTCGACTAAGTTCCTAGAGCCTTTTTAGAGAGAGCAGAGTCCTGTCCTGTATAATCTATGGGATAAATGCTGTGAAATAAATCTCTCACATCGTTACAGCGTGTAAATCAATGTCCCAGGCATCACTCAATTCTACAATGGAATTGACCTACCAGAGAGCCTGTCAGTGATATACAACATCACCCACATTCACCGATTTGTAGGATTTTATGTACTAATAAAATGGGATCTGAATGAATGTATTATAAATCATTCTAACTACTGGGATATAAAATTATTCTACTCTGCGGTTCTTTTTGTTACTTAAAATTAGTGTTGGCACCATTAAATTCAATATAACATTAACAAAAGACCTGGTGATCTTTCCTTAAACCATAGTAATTTAGATGAAAACATCCTTTACTTTTCTAACCTCTGCCCTATATTTTGTAACTTCTCTATCTATTTCTGACCCCAGAATGCTTACCAGTATGTTGGTTTTCTCTTTTCTATTTCAGGTCTCCCAGAATCGGTGAAATTTCACTTCACAGGTAAAGACTTTAATAGCAATTTTATTAGAAAATGAAAATTTCCTTATTAGTCCTTGCTTTTTGTTCCCTTCATCATTGCTTGCACTATTTTCTAAGAACTGCTTAAAAGTTATATAAGACAAGCTTTTCTGAAATAGTCACATGACTAGTTAAGTAGTAATAGCTTAACTTTGTATTCATAGAAAAAAATAAGCCATCAAGTATTCCAAAGATTAGTGTTAAGCCCCATTTCAAACAGTCCCAGTATCTATGAAAAAAAGGTAATAGTGGTTAAGATCTTAGCCTTTGGATCCAGACTGCCCTGGGGGTCAGCCTGCTCTGAGAAATTTTCTTAACCTCTCTATGCCGGCCTGCCTCACTCATCAGTTGGGATAATAACTAATAATCATACATATGTAAAGCTCCCAGAACAATGATTGGCACCGTCATTCCTATGTGACACTCAGCTAATGGATCGTGGTTGTATAGAGTCTTGAAGTGAGCCTTTCCTTGAATGCCTTGCTACTGGAGAGAAATGAAAGCTGTGTGTGGAAGACCCCAGCATCCCAGCTTTAGTTCACAGTGCCGTAGAAGCTGAGTGCCAGGGGGCAGAAGCACAGTCAGACCTGGCACCCCTGTGGGACAACAGAGGGACAAGCTTTCTTGTTTAGGTCTATGGCTGGCTGTAAACAGCATCCTTAAACTGCTGATTAGCTGGGGTTGACTGTTCCATTGGAATCAGCCACCCTTATGTCCTGTTATATTTCATGTAGGATAAATTTTGGTTGGAGAGAAAGTCATCTCCCTCAAACTCCCAGATCTTCTCTCCTTCTCTGAGGATTAAGAATCACACTTGAATCAACAATAAATTTCATTGTTGTGTCATTGTTTTTTTTTTTTAATTGAGATGAAATTGACATCTGACATATAACAAATTTGACATATAACATCTTATTAGTTTCAGGTGTACAACATAATGATTCCATATTTGTGTATAGTGCAAAATGATCACAACAATAAGTCTAGTTACCATCAGTCACCATATATAGTTACAAATTATTTTTTCTTACAACTTTTACATTTACTGTCTCCCTAATGCAATACTATATTATTAACTATAGTTGCCATGCTGTACATTACATCGCTATGACTTAGTTATAACTAGAAGTTTGTACCTTTTGGCTCCCTTCACCCATTTCAGGCCCCCCCACCCCCACCCCACCTCTGACAACCACCAATCTGTTGTCCTCTGTAGTTCTGAGCTTGGGTTTTTTGTTTGTTTGCTTGTTTGTTTATTTTAGATCCCACAAATCAATGAGATCATATGGTATTTGCTTTTTCTGTCTGACCTGTTTCATTTAGCATAATGCCCTCAAGGTCCATGTGTGTCATTACAAATGGCAAGATTTTCTTCTTTTTTATCACTGAGTAATATTTCATTATCTGTTCATTTGTCGATGGACACTTAGGTTGCTTCCATGTCATGGTTATTGTCAATAATGCTTCAATAAACATGGGGGTGCATATATCTTTTCAAATTAGAGTTTTCATTTTCATTTTTCTTTTTTTTTTTAAGAATTTATTTATTTATTTGAGAGAGAGAGCACTGCTGGGGGGATGGGGGAGGGGCAGAAAGAGAGGGAGAAGCAGGCTCCCCACTGAGCAGTGTGCCCGATGTAGGACTCAATCCCAGGACCCTGGGATCATGACCTGAGCTGAAGGCAGATGCTTAACTGACTGAGCCACCCAGGCTCCCAATGTGTGTTCATTTTCTTTGGATAACCTAGAAGAGGAATTGCTGGATCATGTAGTATTTCTGTTTTTAATTTTTTGTGGAACCTTCATACTATTTTCTATAGAGGCTGTACTAGTTTATATTCCCTCCAACAGTGCCCAGGGGTTCTCTTTTCTCCACATCCTAGCCAACACTTGTTTTTTCTTGTCCCTTTGTTTCTTTGTCCAGGTGTGAGGTGATATCTCATTGTGGTTTTGGTTTGCATTTCCCTGATGATTAGTGATGTTGAGCATCTTTTCATGTACCTGTTGGCCATCTGTATGTCTTCTTTAGAAAAATGATTATTCAGATCTCCTGCTCATTTTTTAATTGGATTGTTTGGGTTTTTTGCTATCGAGTTGTATGAGTTCTTTATATATTTTGGATATTAACTTATCAGATACATAATTTGCAAATACTTCCCCCCATTTGGTAGTTTGCCTTTTCATTTTGTTGATGGTGTTCTTTGCTGTGCAAAACTTTTTAGTGTGATGTAGTCCCACTTGTTTATTTTTGCTTTTGGTTTCAAATCCAAAAAAAAACATCCCCAAGGCTGATATCAAGGAGCTTCCACCTTTGTTTTCTTCTAGGAGTTTTATGGTTTCAGGTCTTATATTCAAGTATTTAATCCATTTTGAGTTATTTTTTGTGTGTAGTGTAAGATAATGGTACCGTTTCCTTCATTTGCATGTGGCTGTCAGTTTTCTCAACACCATGTATTGAAGACACTGTTCTTTCTCCATTGTATATTCTTGGCTCCTTTGTCATTAATTAATTGACTATATATATATATGTGTGTGTTTATTTCTGGGCTCTCTATTCTATTGATCTCTATTGATCTGTTTTTATGCTAATATTATGCTGTTTTGATTACTATAGCTTTGTAATACAGTTTGGAATGAGAGAGCATGATGCCTCCAGCTTTATTCTTCTTTCTCATGATTGCTTTATCTTTTCTGGGTCTTTTGTAGTTTCATACAAAATTAGAATCATTTGTCCTATTTCTGTGAAAAATGCCATTGGAAATTTGATGGGATTGTGTAGAATGTGTAGATTGCGTTGGTTGTTATGGACATTTTGACAATATTAATTCTTCTAATCCATGAGCATGGAATATTTTTAGATTTATTTGTGTCTTCTTTGATTTCTTTCATCAGTATCTTATAGTTCTAAGCACAGGTCCTTCACCTCCTTGGTTAAATTTATTCCTAGGTATTTCATTTTTTTTGATGCAGTTGTAAATGGGATTATTTTCTTAACATCTTTAAGAGCTTATTATTGGGGCATAGAAATGCAACAGATTTTTGTATGATTTTGTATCCTACAGCTTTACTAAATTTGTTTATTAGTTCTAATAGTTTTTGGTGACATCTAGGGTTTTCTGTATATGATATGTCGTCTGCAAATAGTGACAGTTTTACTTCTTCCTTTCCAATTTGGCTGCCTTATTATTTCTTTTTTGAGTGTTGTATTATTATTGATGTGAACCCAGTATCAGCTCATCTCCAGTGATAGACTTCTAGTTAATTCATACAATCAGTAATAATATACAACAGATTACATGGTATTTTACATTTTACAAAGCAATTTGCAGTACAAATTGTCTTATTTAATCCTTGTAACAAGACTGTAAGGATGGGTATTATTTTTAGCATTTTAAAGCTGGGGAAATTAAGGGTCATTAGAGTAAGTAATCTGCTCAAATTTCCAGTCCTGGTAAACAGTAGAGCCAAGATTTAAATACAAGTTTCTGACATGGAGCGTGGGATATTTAATTTAGTCTGGTCTGTATATGTGTTGGTCATGAAAAACAAGTGTCATAATAGTGCCTGTTTGGTTTCCAAGCCTCAACTTTTACCTGAAAGCTTGAATAGGTGAAGGGGTTAACTATTAAACTTCTCCGGGACTTTAAGTTAAATGATCCTTGAACCTATTATACAGGGTAGAGGAAATAGATGTTGGGCTGACCTCAAATTAATTTATCTTATTTCTGCCTGAGGTTTCTTTCTTTCTCTTTCTTTTTCTTTTCTTTTCTTTTTTTTTTTTTTT